AGGAACGAGGAAAGGCGCCACCAACACCACCAGGGCGAGGAGATGCGAGGAGCAAGGGGGGTCTCCTTAGTGGTGTGGCCCCCCCCCCCTCTCGCTCGAGGCATCCCCAGCCTCCAGCTCGGGGAGGCATCGTGGACCTCCTCCGTGGAGGCGGGCCCTCCTGGTCCCAGACCCCCGACACCTTGATTTTTTCACAGCGTCGACCCCCAGAGGTCTGGACCCCTTCCCCGGGACCAGTTTTTCATCCTGAGTCGTTGTTTGACGGTCCCGAGGCCCGGCGAGGGTCCCCAGGAGCCGAAAGTTGCGAAAACCGTCCGCCGTGTTTTCTTCATGACCCGGGGGGCTGTGGGATTTTACCGCCGTCCTGGCTTCGTCTTGCGATGTGCTGCTCCCCCACGCGAGCAGCCCCGCCTTCTCTCTAGGCCTCCCAGATGGGGTCGGAGCAGATGGGGTCGAAGGGCCGCGCCGCATTGCCGATGCAACGCCGACGGCGCCGATGCATCGCAAGCGTCGCCGATGCATCGACGATGCATCGGTGATGCATCGCCGATGCTGCGCGATTTTCCGACCCCATCCATCAGGTGCGAAAGAAGGACGTGCACGTGCATGAATCCAGGCTGGTTTCGAGAGTACGCATTGCGCGAACGTTCGCATCACGCGGCTGGTCTCGCGGACTGGGGGGGCCGTGTCCACGCACGTGTACGTGGTTGGGTGCGTACGTCCTTTGTGAGCTCCCTACAGCCTGGCTTCGCTCGGACGTGTACATTTTTCCTTCGGCGAGGGCCATCGAGGAACATCCTTGACCACTTGGCGAACAAAAACACGCACGAGACCGAAAAAAACACAAACAATGGACGTCCGAGCGATGACGAGACAGTCGGACCGAGGTATACGATCGAGGTCAGTTTGGGCAGGGTACCTCGTACTGTTCTTCGTGTCTGTCGGCTGTCCTCGTGCCTCCCGGGGAGGGTACCCCCCTGGACCTTCCGCGCGTGTTGGCCGACGGAGGGCCTCCTGCTCGCGAGGCCTGCTCTTCGGTCTGGCTCCGAGTGCACGTCCCGGGTGGGCTCCCCATACCCCTCGGGAGCGGACAGAACCCCCAACAGTGACACGTCGATTGGTGAATTGTCCGTTTTCGGTTCTCGAGAGGGCGCCGCGGCCGTCGTTTTCCAGGCCTGCGCCCGCCAGGTGTGGGCCTCAGGTCCTTTTCACCAAACCACGGTGTACTAAAGGGGGGGCTGTCCATCCCCGAACCTGCCCGTGTTCATGCCGGTGTCCTGGATCGACCTCGCGGGCTCCTCGGCCGAGCGCCCCGCATGGCCGCCCGCCCTCCTGGGATCCCACCGCCGCGCCCCCCTGCCCCTTCTGACGGGACTTGGCGGGGAAGGTTCCTCCCAAGAGGCAGCGGCCTGAGCCAAACTGGCTACGGACTCCTCCTCCTCCTCCTCCTCCTCCTCCTCCTCCTCCTCCTCCTCCTCCTCCTCCTCCGCATCCTCCCTAGGAGGGCTCTATTCTCTGCCCTGCCTCGCGCAGCGCCGCCCCGCCTCCCTCCCAGCCTGCCGCCTGCCAGCCTGGGAAGCAGGAGGGGGGAGGAGGGGGCGGGGTCGAGGAGGAGGGGGGGGAGGAGGGGGAGGAGGGCGAGGAGGAGGAGGAGGAGGGGGAGGAGGAGGGCGAGGAAGAGGAGGGCGGAAGAGGCCGGAGGATGGCGGAGGGAGGAGGAGGAGGAAGAGAAGGCAGGAGGGCGAGGAGAAGCGAGGAGGGTGAGGAGGAGAGAAGTAGGAGGCGGCGAAGGGCGAGGAGGGGGGCGAGGAGGAAGATGAAGAGGAGTCAGAGTGCCGCGGGGAAGTTTGAAGCCCCCCCGGCGGCAACGACCGCTGGGGGGGCGTGGAGGAGAGGCCCTCCTCAGAAGGGAGAACGATTCCCAGGAAACGATGGGAAAAGATAGGAACTGGGGGGGGAGATGATCACCCAGGGGACAGATGAGAAACTATGGGGGAGATCCTGGGATTTGTCTGTCTGTACTCTGGTGTGTACCTGGGCCCCTTCACTGCACTGCTCCTTGGGGGGGGGGGGGGGCGCTGCTCCTCCCCCGCAGCGGCAGCAGGTGCCCAACGGCATCGACGCCGTCAAGGTCGTGCCGCTCGAGGGCTGGCTGCAGGCCGCGGGCCGCCGTCGCGTCAGATGTTGTTTGAAGGATGGGATTCGCCAGCGCTCTTCTTGACTCTTCCTCCTCCTCCTCCTCCTCCTCCTCCTCGCCCTCCTCCTCGCCCTCCTCCTCATCGCTCTCCCCCCCCCGCCCTGCTCCTCCTCGCTCCTCCCTCCTCCTCCTCCTCCTCCTCCTCCTCCGCCTCCTCCTCCTCCCCCTCCTCCCCCTCCTCCCCTCCTCCTCCTCCTCGTCCTCCTCCTCCTCCTCCTCCTCCTCCTCCTCCTGTCCTCCTCCCCCCCTCCCCCTCCTCCCCCTCCCCCCTCCTCCCCCTCCTCCCTTCCGGCGACGGGCGGGCGCGGGCTGCGCAGGCCGCCGGCCGCCGCCGCGTCAGACACTGTGTTGGAAAGCGGGGTTCGACCGCGCTCTCCTGGAATCTTCGGGCCGAACGAAAGGGTGGGATAGGGAAAAGGGGGGGGTACGAAATCTGCTCCTCCTCCTCCTCCTCCTCCTCCTCCTCCTCCTCCTCCTCCTCCCTGCCCGATGGCCGAGTCCCGGCCTCGCCACGGCTCGGCTCGAAGACGAGAAAGTCGCATAAACACAGGCTGTAGTAGTAAGTCGTGCCTGTCCCTCTACAGGAGGGATGTCCAACAGTAGTCCAAAGTAGTGTCGGGCCGAACGGAAGGGGGGGATAGGGAGAGGGGGGGGGTACGACATCTGCTGCTTGCAGCTGGTTTCGGCCCCGCCGCCGGGCCCATTCCTCGATACATGGGCGATTCCTGGCGCCGGGAGGCGCCAGGAAAATTAGCTCGCTCGGCCCGGAATTCGGCGGCGAGCGGGGGGGGGGGAGACGAGGAGGAGAAGGCCTTCTCAGAAGGCGGCGAGACTTCTCAGAAGCTCTCGCGCCTTCTGGGAAGTGTGTCAGTCTTCGGGGAAGTATCAGAAGACTTCTCAGAAGGCTGGGGGGGGCTTCCGAGCCTTCTGAGAAGGCCTTCTCCTTCTCACTTCCCCCCCTCGCTCGCCGCCGATGAATGCAGTCTTCACGCGAGGCGTTCCAAAGATGGCCTTGCCGGAGGCCGCCTCCGCCAGCGGAATCTGGCGGAGGGGCGGCGGAAGGCGGCGGAAGTGAAACAGAAGAAAACGCCCCCAAGAGACGACAACATCCTGTGTGGGTTCGGGGGTTCCGGAATCCGCCACGTGAGCGACGAAACAATTCAGGAGGGGAAAAAACACACAGACACAGTTCATTGTCGATTCCCCCGGAAATAGGGGAAAACATGGGAAGTGGGGGGGGAAGACCCCAACCCAGAAGACATAGGAAAAGATGGGGAATCCTGTGATTTGTGTGTCTCCATCTGTGTGTCCCAGGGCCCCTTCAACCACAGCGGGGTCGGTGGCGCCGACACTGGCGCGGAAGCCGCCAGCGTGCGGTCGCGCGTGGGCGCCTTCGTTTCGGGTGCAGCGTGCCGCGCTCTCGGCCCATGCCATGGCCATCTCGCGTAAGTTCGCCATGCCATCTCGCGTAGGACCCGTTGGTGATCGTTGCCCGAATGGTACAGTGCCGTTTTTTCAATACCATGCCGTTGACAGATCGTGCCCAAATGGTACAATGCCCAAATGGTACAATGCCGTTGACAGATCGTTGCCCAAACGATCTGCCCAAATGGTGCAGTGCGTGTTTTTTTGTTTTTTTGTATACAAAAGAATATTTTGTTTTGTAAAAAAGAAGAAAAAACCTGCTCCGCGTGCGGATCATGTATTACAACATGCAGGGATTGAGCATTAAGAACAGCGATGAGTTCATGCATACACGCACTCATACATGAGTCATGTATTAAAAATCCCGTATGCTTAAACATCCAATGCTTAAAAACATAGTGCCCTGTGTTCGCCCGCGTTCTTTTTAAGCGCAGTCTTCAAGTTTGTGCCCTGGCATCGCTCGGGCGTGTGCACTGGTCCTCTGCGGGGCCCATCGAGAAGCCACCTGGAACATCGAGCGAGAGACAAGCGCATGAGACCAAACAGGGCACGGGACATGGACGTCCGAGCGAGGACAAGAAGTGGGAGTCGCCCGCGTTCTTCGTGAATGCAGTCTCCACGCGAGCGAGGCAGAACAACGGGGTCGTCTGCGCCGACGTTGGCGCGCAAGCCGCCCGCAGAAGGTCTCTCGCGGGAGGCCCTCGTCTCGAGTGCAGCATGCCGCGCGGGCGGCCCGCGGAAGCCGCCGCGTGAGGTCACTGCGCCACCTCGCGTGAGACCCGTATTGTTTCGTCGCTCGCGTTTGTGTGTGCACAGGCAGTGGTGGCAGAAGCTTCCACACCCAGAGAGTGAGGAGGTCCGTCGGCGGATCGTCGTCGTCGTCGTCGGGCTCGGAGGTCGTCGAGGTCGTCGCTCTCAGGCTCGGAGGTCGTCGAGGTCGTCGCCGCCGCAGGGGAGTTCTGTGAGCCATGTCGGCGCTCTCCCGGACAGGGTGCCCGACACGGCTCTGCGTTGGGTCTTGGGCTGGTGGCTGGAGAGTACCAGCCAAAGACGCACAGTCATGGTTAGTCTTCACCCGCCCGTGTCCTACAGTGGAGACCCATGCCAAGGGACACCCTGTTTGCCTCCAGGGTGCGCTGGGTTTCTCGGGTTTCGATGGTTTTGCTATGGGAAGCGTGACGTGCCCACGCCAGAAATCCATGGACGTCCTGGGGTCTCAGGGTTGGGTTTGTTGTTGACGGTTTCTTGTGGTCGGGCCTCCACAGTATCACATGTTCTTCAGCGTGTGAGGGGTTCTTGGTTCCCGTAGAAGCTAGCATTCCGAGCAGTGGTTCTGTGTTGCTTGTTTTCCCAAGGGCTTCCAGGGGCACATAGAAGATTGCGTGAGCGCGCAAGGTGCATGCAGAGACAGTGTGATGATCGTGAACATTGAGAGTTTGTTAATTGCATGTCTGTTACTAGATGTTGGGTGAATTGTTTACTCAATTTGGGCTCTGTGTGTTTTGACATTTGCCCATGGCCTGCGAGCACGAACACAACCGAAACGGGCTGTGATGGAGTCGACAGCGGCTGAGGGGACGGCGGGAAATGATGCGGCCCACCAGTTTCTTGTATGGACAGGGGGGACAGTATGTGAGCGCACCGACGCAGATCGAAGCAGGATAACGATCCAGGCAGCAGCCGTTCCTGCTGATCTGAAGGGGTAGACGACAATGTGCCCTTGCGCGGATGCTGGAGTGATAGCAGTGCGACGAATATGGCGTAATTGTTGTGTTGTTATGTTGTTATGCTGATGGATTGGTGTGAATTGATTCGACTGCGTCGACATCGGAGCCAGCTGTCGGCAGCGGAAGAGTGCCCCCGCCAGATTATCGCGTGGTGCGGCTTTTTCGAGCTGTGCGTGAACGTCCCGCAGCACCCAATGGACCTTTTTGCTCTGGCTGCGCTTGCTCATGCACATGTGCCCACCATTGTGTCTTGCAGCTGTTCTGTGTTCCGTGCTCCTGGGCACTGACAGTGACGAGCGATGGTCTTGTATCTCAGCCGCGTAACCGTCCACCCGCTGGAGCAGTCGGCGCATGACTGTCGTCACGGTCTGGCCCCCCTATGGCACCACAGGGCAGCGTCACAAGTTCAATTCTGCCGCAAGGCGTCGAAGCGTCGCTGCGTCCTGGTGGACATCGCCACCCGCCGCACCACTGCCACCGGGGCTCCGCCGCCTGGGGCTCCTGCAGCACACGCCGGCCTGCTCTGCACGCCTCCTTCCTGCGAGCCTCTCGTCGCCTTGCATCCCTTTTTTCGACACCTCTGCGCTGGCCCCTCCATTGCGTCGGCTCCCTTTTTTGTGGTCTTCGGTTCGCGCGCGCGGCGCATGCCCGAACGTCGCGCTTGTGTGTCCGGGGAGGACTCCTGATGTGCTTCAGAGCAGGAGGAGGTGACGGAGGAGTGTCTCGCAGGCGATGCTTCTCTCCCACTTCCCAAGTTCCGCCCGAGAAGTTTTCAGGAGGGGGAAAAACACACAGACACAATTGATCGTCGATTCCCAGGAAAATATGGGAAAATGTTGGAAGTGGGGGGGAAGACAAAAACCCAGCAAATACATGGAAATATGAGGAATCCTGTTATTTGTGTGTATTTATCTGTGTGTCCTGGGGCCCCTTCAAGTTTGGCCGTCCAGAAAGAAGGGGGAAACCCTGGGATACACCACAAGGGGGCTTCTCGGACGCACCTCCTTGTCGAGGATGGACGCCCAAAGCTTGTGGTCCACTCGAACCCCCACGAAGCCTGGGATAGGGTTCGACATCTCCCCTGTCAGTGTCTGCTTCCCTTCCATCCTGCGTCTCTCTCTCTCTCTCTCTCTTTCCCCGTGCGCCACATCACATACAGCAGTCATGAGGGGCAACACACACAGACACAATAAATCGTCGACACCCCGGAAAATATGGGAAACTATGGGAAGTGGGGGGAAGGAGACGAAAACCCAGAACATACGGGATAACATGGGGAATCCGGGGATTCGTGTCTACTTGTTGGTGTGCCCCTGGACCACATCGCACACAGCCGGCGCACCACGCGAGAATTCGGCACGCCAGCAGCTGCCCCGCCCAGGTGGCCCCGGGAGGCCACAGAAGCTCCGGACGTCGACGAAGAGAACGCGCCCCGAGATCCCAGGCCCCCCCCGCGCTGCGACCGAAACTCGCGGCGGGAGGTCTTTCGCCATCTTCGGCCTCCAGGGGTCCCTCGCCCGGCCTCGGGACGGTCAACAGAACGACCCCTGGAGGCCTGGCATCGCTCGGACGTGGAGCATCCTTGATCATTTGGCGAAAATTATCCCAGTGCGTCCCTACCTAGGAGTTGGAACCCCTAGGAAAGCAGCATTAGTAGTAACAGTAACGCTAAGCTAAAGCTAAGCTAAAGCTAAGCTGAAGCTAAGCTAAAGCTAAGCCACAGCTAAGCTAAAGCTAGGCTAAAGCTAAGCCACAGCTAAGCCAAAGCTAGGCTAAAGCTAAGCTAAAGCTAAGCTAAAGCTAAGCTAAATCTGAGCTAAGGCTGAGCTAAAGCTAAGCTAAAGCTAAGCTAAAGCTAAGCTAAAGCTAAGCTAAAGCTAAGCTACAGCTAAGCTACAGCTAAGCTACAGCTAAGCTAAACGCTAACCTAAACGCTAAGCGAATAGCTAAGCGAAACGCTAAGCTAAAGCTTAGCTACAGCTAAGCACAAGCTAAGCTAAAGCTAAGCTAAAGCTAAAGCTAAAGCTAAAGCTAAAGCTCCCAGGGGACTGGGGGGAATCGCTCCCAGGGGACTGGGGGAACCGCCCGGGGCGTGTTCCACTGCCCGGCCCCTTTAAGCTAAGAGAGTAAGAACCCTTCTAGGCAGAGCCTAGGTAGGGAAAAAAAAACACGCACGAAACCGAACAAACAAAAACAGGAAATGGACGTCCGAGCGATGGCCAGGAGGAAGAGCCCGTGACCCACGGGAAGGGGTCCGGACTTCTGGCGGCCGACGCTGCGAGCCAGAGCACGACGTCGGGGGTCTGGGCCCCAAGAGTTCTGAGAATGGAGGAGGACGATTAAGAAATGACCGGGGGTCGCGTTCACGCGGCGGCGCCCGGGATGACGATTAGAAAAAACCGGCCGCGGGCTGGAAAACTATTTGTTATAATCGTTCTCTTCAAGTCAGACAACTGTGCAGAAATAGCAGAAAACTATTTTTTATCATTCTCTCCCATTTGTTTTATTAATCGTCATCCCGCATTATGGCTGGACGTCTTGTCGCGTGTGTCTGCTGTGGTCCCCCGGTGCCGCGAGGGGGCGGCCGGGCTGCGGGCGTTTTCTGCCCGCGAGGAGGGTCCACGCTTCTGGAGCGTGGCAACGAGGCGTCGGCGCGTGGTGCTGCGTGTTGAGGGCACGTCTGTACATTGGCGGGCGAGTCCAAGCATCGTCAAACGGGTCCACCGAGCTGCCCGATAGATCAAGGGAGGGAAAGACCGCCCCGACCCCCATAACTGCTTGGCGTTTGCTACATGGACGGCCCTGGTCGTTTACGAGACAGCCCCGAGTGGCTCGATTCCTTCCCTGGCCACGGTCGCTGCAGGGTTTCGCTTGTCCGGGTGCTCATGTTGAGGGTGTCTTCTCCCGGGGGCCCCCACACGGTGTGGTGACCACACCGTGCGGTGAGTCGGTGGGGATTCGGGGTCACCGCACGGTTTGGGGACTCGAGTCCCTCTCCGAGGACGTCTCGGGCGACGCGGCGACTGGGGGCCTCCGGGGCCCCAAGACCGCGCGGTGGCGGACCGTGCGGTGAGGTCTTGGGGGATCTCGAGGTCACCGCACGATCCGTCACCGCACTGTTTCGGGACTCCGCGCGCACGCCGCGCCGCTCCGCGGGCCCGGGCGGCCAGAGCGTCGAGGCGGGCGGCCGTTGGGGGGGGGGAGGCGCTTGGCATCGCTCGGCATCGCTCGGACGTGTGCACTGTTCCTTCGGCGAGGAGCATCGAGGAGCACCCTTGATCATTCGGCGAAAAAGCCACGCACGACACCGAACAAAAGCACAGGGAAGGGGCGTCCGAGCGACGGCCAGGGGGGGGGTCGGGCGGGGCCAGGGCGAGGATCACGCCGTGCCAGAGCCGGCTTCGCCTCGGGGCGGGCGCCGGACGTCGTGTCATGGCCGCTCCCCGATATAGGGCTCGGTTTGCTTCCTCCGGTTCGACTCGATTCGGTTTCCACGGCTTTCGATGTTGCGTCGCTTCGACTGCGGCTTCCGATTTGGACTCCGAGTCCTGACTCAGGACTCGGACTCCTGACTCAGGACTCCGAGTCCTGACCCTGGAGTCCTGGGCGCCTCCACTCAGGACTCCGGAGTGGAGGCGCCCAAGCCTGCCGACTTCCGCCGATGCGGCCTCTCCCGACTCGGCTGCCGACGTCCGCTGGCGCGGTTCCTCTCGTCGATCGCCAGCTCCACTTTATGTCGATTCGATGCCGGGCCCTGCTGCCCGAGGAGCCCGGGAACTACTACAAGGGCAGGTTCGGTGTCTTCTGGAACAGGATTCTCCGGCGGCGGCTCTCTCCGCGCCCTGGGACGGGGGGGGGGCCTGGGAGGCGCCCCCGGCCGGAGAGGGGCGCGGGGGTTGCTGAGGGGATGCGGCCGAAATTGATAGTGATGATGGGCAACCTTTCCAAGGGTACCCAAGCTTGCATCCTTGCCTCGTCGGTGGTCTTCGGTCCATCCTCAGCTTCTTTCGCTGGCCAGCCCCGCGCGACGAGCCTCAGCATGGGCGTCCGAGGCCCTCGCATCCTTACCGCGCATCCTTGCCATCGTTTTGACTGCAGGGGGAGGGGCATCAGTGGATGTCAAGGTGGGATACAAAAGCCCCGCGTGGCTGTAGGTTGATTTGATATGCGGAGCCCACTTCGCCGGGATCGTAAACCCCCCTAAGCCACTTGGGGCACGTATAACCCTCTGACAACGACGGGAGCACGCGCCACGCGGCCGCCCTCTCTTGCGGACAATTGTGGCCTGGCCATGTGCAGAGCAGCCAGCTGGCCTGACTCCCCCTTAAATCAACGCGCCCAGTACAGACGAGCGCCCTCATCTAGGGTACCCCGTTGTGTCCTTGCCTCTGCGGCCCGTTCTCTGCCATTTGCAATGGTCGCCCGCCGCCGAAAAAGACAACAATCTTCGGGCTCCAAGGGTGCTGCGTCCTGACCGCTCGTCCTTACCACAGCCGGCCCGGATGAGCAGGTCGTCCACGCCACGTCAAGGGTACCTTTGTGTCCTGTGCCTCGCGACCCATGCCTCCTGCATTCCTGTGGCAGCGTGCCCCATCGGAAAGGGTCTCTTGTCTTCTCGCGTGGAGGAGGAGGAGGAGGAGGAGGAGGAGGG